ATCCAACAAGTTTCATGCTAAGTACCTTTTGAGATCGTTTTATCATTTACAGCTTTAATTTTATAAGAATCGAGACTTGGAATCTTTGCCGACTTTGGAATTTATAGCGTAAACATGTTTATTGTTTTGGACTCCAAAAACTCTACTTGTTCCGTACTGTCATCCACATTGAAAAGTTTTGCTTCTTTTTCTTCTTAATTCCAAGCTTTTCTTTCCCAACCAAATAGTTTTACAGTGGCGATTCGATTTCAATGAGATCGTATAAATCAATTCGAAGTTCAACCTTTCTTTTAAAAAGAGTGCGCAAAGGAATCCGCCAAAAAAGCTTTTCTAACTTCCATGCTTGTGCCATCCCAGATTTTAAACAAAGGTTTTTGGATATTCTTTTAAATTCACAGGCGAACCACAGTCCGCTCCTAAGCACGATCCAAGCGTAAAATTTTGCAATACGCTAATGTATGCAAATTAGATAAGGGCCGCTATATTTAGTTAAAAGTCAAATGCCCGCTCGATCGCAAATTCCACACTCTACCAGAGCTCCTCTGCCACTCTACGGAACTTGCCTATGGCCAAATGCCCTGGGTATGCCCGGGGGGGGAGGATGGGAACCTGTGGAATTGACTCATACATTAATCCCACGGTCTTGTTGGATCACACCACAACCGTATTGGCAAACCTCCATTTGTCAAAACATTCCTTTCGATTTCTCCATCTACTTTCAGTGAGGCCGGATTCTTTCACTGCCCACTGATCTTCTCTTCGAASGCCTGCCAACAACGTCAAGGCATGTATAAATGCACGTACTAAATCTGTATCCGTTGTTAATTTCCATTTAGCAATGCAAGCTGTTTCAAAATAAAGGATTTCTTGGAAAAAAAATGCGGTTTCCCTACAGGGAAGAAAGGCATTAGATTTCSATAGTTTCCGCCTGTCAATCAGGTTCTCCAAGAGCCAATCAGCATAAACTTTTATTATGTAAACTAACAATAATCAATAGGAAGAACATGAAATGTGCCTTCACAAGTACAAAAGGTGGCTTACTTGAGGCGGATAGCAGATCGATTCAAGTGAAAATCAATACTGGCGAGTTAAACTTCGAGATCGATAGCCATGACTTCTGTGGATCACCAAGGTAAATCTCAACTTTTCTTTGAATGCCTTGATTTTTCAACTATACRGTAAGAAAAATGTGTTGGACTTCCTCAGGTGGTAAGCGATTTGGGCAATTGAAGAAGCAACAAGAACAAACTCTAGACGAGATCAACCAGGTATATGGCTTTTATCGTCCCCTATCGAGATATCTCTTAATTGACCATCAGGAAYCGTTTAGCAGTATCAGAAACTTTAGAATACGGCTTCTTTAATTCTGAAATTCTGATGGATGCAAAGTCTTACATTTATTTCCGGGAGTTTACACTTTGCAAGGTAATCACTGAAGCCCATAGTAAACACTCCATGTAAACACTCATATATTTACCTTTGAAACACGGATTTCCAATGAAGTTCCAAGCGGGASCTCAGTACCTAGTCGTTCCAATCTCCTCGTTAAACCTCACCTGCATGAGGACGACCTTATAATCACACAATCTTTGGGATCAAATATTGAGCGGAAATCATGTTACGAAACTTGAAAGACTTGTCCAACAAAATATATTCAGATAACAAAGCTGCTCATAATCCGGACTCATAATGTATTGATTGTATTGTTATGTTCATCAATTTAGAGCTTTAAAAATTCTGGGGATTACGATGACGAAGARGATTATCCAGATCTCGATGGAAAACTTGAAAGTTATAAAAGTAAGACTTAAAAAATGTAAAGATATAGAAAACCATTGACTGAAATATTCATAGCTATCTTGTCACGTTTCGCTTTCTCTGGTTCTATATATACTATCAAGTGTCAGCTTGATATCTAACGTCCTGAAACATGTAACGATTGAGTAATATAATTTCATTATATGATTATGTTCTTTTTTTTTTAAATTATATATATGTATATGTATATTATTATTTATTTATTTGAATTTTAGAGCAATTCATGGAGTTTGACCTTGATAATTCCGGAGACATTGGTAAGTTTTTACTACTTAATGTGTTAAATTTGAGGTAATATTTCTTAGTATCAATGCAAAACAAAAGTGGGTAAACTGGTTTTTTTTCATATTAATACTTCAAGTTATGAAGTGATAAGATATCTGCATGTCCTCATCCTGGTGGGCGTACGATGACGTCATTTGTTTTGGTCAAGAACATGAAATTCTCGGGAATTCAAGCAATAAACTAACAAACGTCAAAAGTGGCAAGATCCTATCGCTTTGGAAGATATCTGGAGAATTTGAAGACAAATCTCTTGATGGTTTTCAAGTTAACGTTGTGAAATTTGACAGTAAATGTATGTTGGTTGGCAAGATGTTGCCAACCAACATACATTTACTTTAAAATTTAGCAACTTTAATTTATTATATCTCCTGAACTGATGAAGCAACATCTCTCAAATTGATTAATGTTATCAACAATTATGAATTCTTTATATTTCTTAAATCCAATCTTTATGACTCAAAAGTTAATTTCTGAAATGTAAACAGTACGCCCACCTATAAACAGGTGTAAACCTACTCTTAAATAGCACCCACCCCCCCCCCCCCTAGAAGAGATGATATCAACTGCATTATTGATGTTTGAATTTGTAAGCAAATGTTGCATGCCTCCTAAAACAAAAATCCTGGATGGTGTACCCCCCTAGAAAACATAATTTTTTCACATTCCTGTTAAATTATAAACCACATACAATATCTCATGATCTTAGAAATCAAACTAACTACTTTAGGGTTATACAGTATATGTATCTCTGATTATGGCAGATTGTACTGACATGATGGATGCATGCATCACTCTTACTTGTTAAAACAGCAAGGGTTTTATGTTTATAATTTGTATTGGCATTATGGATTGATTTAACTTTTAACTTATCCTCTGAAACAAAAAATACTTGTTTAAATGTGTAATAGTAAAAACACAGGTGTAGCCCAAGCATATGAAGTTAGTGACAGCATTAGTATCCTTTGTTGGTTATTGAACACTTYTTTTAGCAAAGGGTCTGAAATTGTGTTTTCCTCCAACATCTTCRTGGGCCAAGACCCCCTGTTCTTCAATACGGCGCTGCACCCACTTCCTCAGGATAATTCTGGACCTATATTCCCACCATGCCCTGGATCCCTTTTACAGCCTGTTTCATTAACTCCAGATGTTTGGCATTTTATATTTTGTATATGTTTTGTCAATCAAATTTTTGACAGGCCAAGTGTATTCCAATAATTATTGTGAGCAWCAGATATTGGCATGACTCGACAGCCATTTTCCCATTTTGGGGTTATGTGTGGTAAAACCATCTACAGTACTAGCTTTGAAATTCCTAGTTTAACGCACAAAAGAACRAAAGTATGAAATTGCATTATCAATTAGTAGTAGTGCAGTAGTTCATTATTTTTGCAATATATTGTAAGCTTGCTATAAATGCATTTTGCAATCTTCAAGGTAACTTCATTGTTTATTTGTTACATTTTTGTCCTCATCCTGGATCTAGGATGGGAGAAAAAATTTATAATTGGATTTTTTTTGGAGAGCTGGACAGTCTATTTATCAAAATATTCAGTGCAATATATATTTTTTACAATGTCTGTGAATACCTGAAGGGTGGGCAGCTCTAAGTCCAGACTTTGCCCAATACTAAACAATTCTATTCTTTTGCATCATATTCTTTCCCTTTATTACAGATATCATGGAATTGAAGAAAATGATGCCAGAGAAAAACGCGGAATTGAAGAAAATGATGGAAAAACTTGGTCAGGCTAAGACACATCTGGAACTTAAAAAAATGATAGCTGAGGTTGATACAACAAACTCTGGTAAAAAAAATGAACATTTTGAGCCTAATTCACCCTTGCATCTTAGTTGGTGATTAATTGTGATAACTGCTATTTTTTCATAACCTCACGCCTCTGCTTTTCTATTTGTGATACTTRATCAAAACCAAAGTTGACATCTATAAAATATTTCACAGAGTTACCTAACTTCAATACCATGTCAGTGAAAGAATGAAAAAAAACACTTTTCTCATGCCTTTTTCCATCTCTTTTTAATTTATTGACCCATCCATTCATGCATCCATTATTTATTTATTTATTCATTCATTCATTCATTCATTCATTCATCCATTCATTTATTTATTTATCCATTTATCCATTTATCTATTTGTTTGTTTGTTTGTTTATTTATTTATTTATAATTATTTATTTATTTATTTTCTCAAAATAATAGGGACCATCAGTTACAATGAATTCCTCACAATGATGTTGGGCAAAAAATCCTCAGTTCTCAAGTTGTAAGTTTATATTTTATGTATTATATATATATATATGATATCTTATAACAACCCTTGGTTCGACTACCAGTAATGACCCACCCATTCACCRTCAATATTACCTAGTAACTATTGCTGTGTATCACTTAATGTCACTTCCTGTCTCATGTGCAATGTTCATCAGATGAACCGCATGAATTCAATAGAATTGTCCTAGGCTGACAGCACATGACAGGGACCATGGAGCGTAATAACTGTGATTGGGAGGGGGTGACTAACGGCTGCCGAAGCTGTGAGCATCTAGGGGGGCTTCAGGTATGCCCCGCAAATGTGATTTCCAGTGTTTTGAGGGTCATTTGCAACATTTTTATTAAATTCAGGATTTTGTGTCTCCCAAATTTTGCATGGTCTCATAGCCATCAGAGAAGTCTAATGGACTGCATTTGGAGCAAATTATGAGATTCAAAGACTTTTAACAGCTGATTGAAAACCTGCAATTGATGTTTTGCAAGCATTCCCAAGAGAGTCAAAAGACAAAAGCATGGCGGCCATGCATTTTGGTGCATTTAACAATGGATTGTAATGAGAAATCTTTAGTTATATGGCACCAACATGGCCGCAATGACGTAACGTGCAATCGAACAATACTGATAATGGATTTATTGTTGTTTATTTTGAAGGATTTTGTTGTTCGAGGAGAAGAAGAAGGAAAAGGAAAAACCGAAAGGCGTGGCACCCAAGAGAGATTTGTCAAGTCTTCCTTGAGGACGGAATCTTCATTTTTTATTAAGCAAAAAAGCCATTACAATCCGGTTACCAATGTTTTATCTTGAATGATTGAATGAGTGCCAGCTTTTTTCAGCTTTTAAAATTTTAAAATATTTCAACATACGTATTCTTAGGCGTTGTCTTTTGCTTTTGTTTGATTGTTTGTTTGTTTGTTTTCATCCAGATGGTAGGAATACTGATTTCATAATTACGAGAAAGATATTTTTATAGGAAAAAATCAGCATATTTAAGTTTTTATCGCCTTTCATGCTCCTAAGAACGCTTTATAATTTTCATAAAATAAAAAATATTTCTATCAATTGTTTCTTTTCTTTTGTGTATTGTTAGTGCATGCCAAGAATAGATCTGACGTCATTCGCTGAAGGTGTCGGTTGCGCCAAAAATTCCATATATAGTAACCTTATGCCCTACGGTAGACAATATTCAAAACCACTAAAACCCGTTTGTTTCATTATAGCTGGACTCTTGTTTATCTTTTTTTAACCAAAGTCCTAATCTCAAAGCCAATCAAATGAATCATACCGTACGTTGTTTAATTCAGTGTCACCTAAAAACTATCATGAACAACTACTAATTGGAATGGAGAGAGGAACAGGCATTACTCTCCCTATTTTTTATGATTTTTCTCTTTCCTCCCTAATTCTTATGATTGTTTCTGCCCCTCCCTTTTCTTCTGTTGGAAGATCGACTAGATCTTTTCTTCTGTTTTATTCAAGGTTGAAGCTGCTGATCACTCTTTGGCCCTGCTTCTAAATGAACCAACTATTTTTTGCTTGGCTGCTTAATGCTTAACACCAGACAGGATACATGACAATGTTTTGAATAGCACAATCAGTTTGGACGGCGTCTTTTCCAACGTGACCAGTTGACAACGAAAGGTGGTCGTCTAACACATTACTCAAGATTTATCAAACAATCGTGATATATGATCATTTTTCATTCAAGTTTCACAAGAAATCATCGCGGATCACAACGGGTTGATATTTTTGATAAGCGTTTGCGAGGCCCGATCGATACAGAGACTGAGGATAGGTGTGTGATTACTCAGTACCCTGCGTATTTGGCAGTGAAACCCTGGATTTTGTCTTCAAAATATCTCTAAAACTAGAAGTCAAATCGCAGATTTGAACTGTACTGTGTTTTTACATTTATAGCTAAACAAAGTATTTTAACAGTCTTCTGAGGGGGAGAAAGTATTTTTATTTAATACTTGTTATTTACATAAAGATCATTACAAATGACAGGCACAACTCGGCAAGACCTCTTTACCTCGGGCGTAATGTTTTGCCTTGAAAATGACACGTGGTTTGAAATGGGAAAACATTAAGCAAAAGGTAAAGAGGAATATTAACCCCCTAAGGACTTTAAAAGGACTGTGCAATAATTATCCGTGGGTGGGGACTGAAGTAAACTTGATGTAATGATTACGGGGCTCAAAGGAAATAGTTCATTTTACAAGGAGGGGGAGGGGGATCTTAAGTTTTATTTGAAAATATATATATATATGTATGTATATATTGTATTTGGTATAAGAATGCGAATGGTATACGAATGAAATGCAGTAAGTGTGCCAGGAATTCATGGTTGATAAAAGCACTTGCAAAAGTCTTGTGCAACACGGACATTATTACGACAGCCAACTAGAAAGCTTAGCTCCTTTGGCTGTCGTACACTTACACCTATTWTATTGTTAATTGTATTAAAAATTCTAAATATTATTCAACTATATATATTCTTGTAATTCTATTATATAAAATTGAAAAAAACAGTGTAAATAAACTGAAATTGAATTGAATTGAATTGAATTGGCRTAACTAGGGATCTTGCAGGGAGGTGAACAGGCAATATGTTGCAGAACCAAAATGGAGATGGATGAGCGGACCTTAAAAGCTTAAAAGCTTTTATAAGGGGGGGGGGGGTGCACGTGCACCCTGTGCTCCCCCCTAGTTACGGCCCTGCAGATAATGTAACACAATATCAGGTTTAGTGACGTTTAACTAGAAAGTTTTTCATTCAAGCAAAGTTAGGAGATTTCCAACTTTTTTCAAGACAAAACAACACTGAACAGACTTGAAAACTGGTGAAAAAATCTGAGCAAAATATAAGCCTATTTCTACTTCTTTTACATAACGATGTTTGGATATCCATATCAAGAGTTTTATAACTTCTCGATTATGAAAACGTTGCTTTCAATGGATGTGAAAAAGTCGCTCCCTCTTGGTCTCATCAAGTTCACTTCCAGTAAAAGGACCTTTGAGACTACGATTCAACTTTGAAACCACATTCGTCCATTACATTTCTTCTCATTTATTTTATTTATATAATTATGTTGGTATTACCAAAACATATAACGTTTAGGTTATATGAAAAAGTTCCAGTTGCAATGGATGTGAAAAAGTCGTTCTCTCATGGTCTCATGAAGTTCACATGTATCCAGTAAAAGGACCTTTGAGGTTCCGAGTTAACTTTTAAACCAATATTATTCAATTCAATTTCTCATTATCTATTTCATATTTTCAGTACGTCACTTACGGACGTTACTTACGGACGGACAGACGGAAGTGAAAAATCAACTTGGTGGGTTACCATTTCTTTAAAGTATGGTGCTCCGCTATAGTGTAACAACGACGAAACTAATTTGTGTAGAATATGATACTGAAATTTTCTCTAAAAAAAAAAGAAAGAAAAAATAGAATCCTACAATTTTCTTGAATTAATAAAAGTCACTTACAAAAAAAAACAAAAAAAAACAAAAAAACAGGAAACAAAGAAGAAGAAAAAAGTAGTCTTAACACGGTGGGAATCGAACCACCAACTTTAATAGATAATTAATTCCAAAATACAAAAGAAGAAAAAAGCAGTGCCTTCATGCCATACCCCTAGACATCCGCTGGGTCATCGTATGGACTTCGGACATGACGGCGATTAAGTCCCTCTGCCCTTGGGTGTACGGATTACGCAGGTTAGTGTTCTAGCCGAAGCATCAGGGGAGAGACTAGCCGGCCCCCAGACCATATCTACAGCTAATCCCTTGCMCTCTGCCACGCACTGGCACGTTGATTTCAAGTGGAAAATAAGCTAGTCTATCTGCCTCTTTGTTTTCATGGCTATTGTTGTGCTAATTTCCTGAGATCGTGGCCCAGTGGAAAAAACTTGGGCTTCCAAGACACTGAGTCAAGCACGTTTGAGGGAGATTAGTACTTGGATGGGTGACCTGAAACTTATAATTACCCCTTTTGATTTTTGAAATATTTTTTTCATAATTTATCTTTAAACATACTTGAATAGATATAGACCTTATAAATGTTTTTTCCATTAATCCGCCTTAGTGTAGCCCATTACTGTCTTTCTACTGCAAAATGCTTTGAAAAGTCTTTAAACGACAGATTAGCTCCCATTTTCCATTTTACTTTTGTGAATTTTAATGTTTTCACTTAAGTATTTCCTTTGCTTGAAAACTGAATCCATCAACCAAATGGTATGTAAAAACTTTTTGTTTGAGGTTGAAGGTCCGGTTGATGGTTGAAAGTAAAACAATTTCACATCTAGAAACGAAATTTTGCAGTCGACAAACTAGAGGCTAAAGTTTCCGAAAACCAACGAATATAAGTTTATTTTGTCTAATCATGCTGACTGGCTTGGTGTAATATGTATTCCTTTTTATATTTCATTCAACATTTAATGATAAATTTGTTCTTAATTAAGCTTACGTTAAAGACAAAAKTTCAAAGTTCTTATCGTATCCGTGTTTGAAGATAAATTCGGTTGCTCTTTCGCCGCTTTTTTATTATGAATTATCTAGGTCTTGCTGGATTCCGGATTCGGACTTTTTCGGTCCGCGCGAGCGCGAGAGCTCCGCTTTAAAGGCTAGAATTATATGAAAACTTACTTTATCTATAGGAATTGCGTAGCGTCAATTTTTAATTCTCTACTTTCACATCCCCATAATGCCTTGCGTCTTTGGGGGGTAACCAATCAAAAATCTGTCCCAAATTGAAAGGTTTCTTAACTGAATTTATACTATCCTGCTTTTATCTGCACAATACTGGTTATCAGTTTATTCCAAGTTATTTTTGCGTGTACAGATCACCAAGAGTTTTGGTCTTACAGAAAATGTATTGACTTACGAAAAAATATTTAAAATTTACCTTAAACATCTTCAAGCTTCTATCTTTTTCTGTTTTTTACTTATTATATATATATATATTTTACTTCTTCATTTTATTTTTGGACTAAACAAGGTATTGTCAACATTGTCTGATCAGCTTTCAGCAAAATAAGTGGTTCTTTACCCTCTGGTTACCCCCCAAAGACGCAAAGTATTATGGGGATGTGAAAGTAGAGAATAACACGGTCGTGGGTCCGAAATTTCTCAACTTTGAACCAATTTTTTAAACATATCAGAATTTTTTTWAAATTGATTTTTAATTCGATAAATGTGCTTAGAAATTATGGTAGATTTTATTAGAATGAGGTGCCAAACAGGGGTTAGGTGCACTTTAAGGAATACGGAACATGGTTTATAGCAGGCAATAAGTTGTTCAGCCTATTGTCCTTATTGCTAACGATAGAATTAAGATATTGTTACGAATTGTTACACCAGATGATTTACACAGTCCTTTTTTTTTACACGTTCTAGTTCACACTGAAAGTACACGAGTGGGTAGTCGTAGAAAAAAGTGGGCACTGCATAAGTTAGGATAAATCTAATACATGTGATATCGAAAAGAACTAAATCCCTTCGAGGACTGAAGTTTTGCCCTTTTTAGTTGCACAATGAAAATGCCACCGTTTCAATGCTTTCTTAACTTCCTTTACTTCCTTAACTTTCTTGCTTCCCTAATTCCTCCATCAATGTGTTTCTTATAAATGGATGCACAGATGATGGGCAGGAAGGGCCGGGAGGGGATGAGCGGAGGATGGGGTACTGATCGCCTTACTCGGGAGCATCCTAGGCCTTTGCAATCCAAATCTAACAGACCGGAAAAACGTAATAAAAGTGCTTGATGATATTAAGTTGCACGCTCGAGTCAAAAGTCAAGCAAATTTTTTCTGTCTATATCTAAGAAGATAGATTTGCTTGAAGAAATCACAGAGGAAAATCTAGGGTACGAACATATGCATTGATAAAGAAAAGAATACAAAACCGCAAAACTATGGTGGCGCTTTGTGACTTTCGGCTTTCAAACTTTGTGATCTGGCCAGTTTGAGTGCTTTTTTAAGTTTTAGCTTAATAGTAGCTGAGTTATGGCAAGCGGCCGTGCAACTGTGCACGTTCATTCCAGTGTTCGTTTCAACA